ATTGATACTGTCATGACCAACAAATCCCGGGGCTCTGTCAGTGGTGAACCAACGCCGATAGGCGAATCCGCCAACCCAAAACCCATCCTAACCAGCCCCCAACCTGATGTCTGGCCCCCTGCCTTATTGTGTGAGACTTGGCGAACAATCAGAACCTAGACCCTGCCGGCATTCCGACCTTACCTCCAGTTCCCGAGCCCTTGGCGCTCCTGGCATTCAGTCCCTCCAGTTCCTATTCCAGCCTTGTCTCCATCTGAACCACACTCATTGCTTCCCACTATGTGGTCGCAGCCATGCCCCGCTTCCGTGCATTCTGCACCCTCTGCCCACTCCATGCCCTCTGCCCATCTCTGCACCCTCTGGCCACTTCTGGTTGCCCTTGACACCTCTGGACTCTCACTCCCCTCTGTACCTCTGTTGGCCTTCATGCTGTCCTTGTGTGACAGTGCTGACAGATCAACTGTCAGGGATGTGTCCGGGGTCGAGGCGGTCCGGGTGTAGCGTCCGGTGCTGAGGACCTCACGGGGGGTAGATCGGGCGTGCGTACTGGCAGGCCCGATGCGGGACAGCGATCCCTGGCCACTTAGACTGAAGTGGGAATGTTGAGAAGAAGGTTACTTCTTTGGTTCCCACCCCAGGTGTGTTTATATACATGCGGCTTGGGTCACATGAGGTCCACCACGTCACCCCACATACAGCCACGGTCACCCGGGTGTCCCCGTGGGGGATCCCAAGGGTGTATGCTGCATGCGTGCGCACTAGGTTGCGCCCTAGAGCCATCCGGGGTTGTCCGGGGCTAGGCATGTCGTGTGCGCGTCGTGGGCAGGTCAATAATACATAGATATAAGGGAAAGGTCGTCCGTGTGAAATAGAAATAGAAATAGGAATAGAAATAGAAGTGGGAGAGGGATAGAGGGGGAAGGGATATGAAGGAAGGGTGCAGGGTGGGAGAAGGGGTACTGGGTGAGGTGGGTCCGGGTGGAGGCGGGTCAGGCGGGTGTGCCCTGACATCAACCTCTGTTCACGGACTTGTGTCGGCACCGCACCGACCCCACTTATTTGCGGACTTGTATCGGTGCTGCGCGCTGACCTCTGCTTTTGTCCTCTGGTCATTTTTGTCACTCGGCAACATAACATTCATTCCTTGCCAAGTGCCTATTATGTTCACCCCAATATTGGCATTTGATCCATGTGCTATTGCACTTTCCTATTCATTCATTTAATCTGTCAATATTGGTACTTGATCTGCTTTGACTTTATTCATTCCTTGCCTCCCATTTCCCAGGTTCTTGTCCTTGGTTTAGTTTGACAAGTCCCCACTCATTTCCGCTTATTTCCACACCGGACCGACTGGTCCCTCTTTTGATTTCTCTTATCTACTTATACCTTGTAAATACTTTTGGGGACCTCAGTCTGAAATCAACTAGAGTACCCCCCTGTCTGGTCTGAGTCCCTCCTTCTGCAAAGGGGGCTTCCCCCCCTCTGAGTCCGTGCTTGCAGAGTCCGTGCTCCTCCTACAGGTCCGCTCCGCCCACAAGTCTTGTTTGAAGTCTGCTGTAAGTGTCAGTCTGTAAATATGGGATCTCCCCCAAACGTCAAGCTCAGGGCACAGCACTCCACCTGAGTCGCTGAGGCCACGATCCCACTCTGCTAACCTTGAACAGCACTTCCAGACGCGCCGCATATTTCCGCCTGCATATCTGCACGCATGCTCCAACAGACCTCTGCATCACCTCCGACCTCAACTCAGACAGAACCCAATCCATCTTCCATCTGCCTCCTGACAGTGTTCTGACTCTGACAGTATGTCCGACTCTGACAATATTTCGACTCCAGCAATATTTCAGTCTCCGACAATATTCCCATCTCTGACAGTCTGCCCAACTCTGACAATAATCTCCGTCTCTGACAGATACAAAAAAGGTTGTCTGTGTAAAATAAAGAGAAAATAAAGAGGAAGTAAAATAGGAAGAAGGTGAGGAAGCAGGAATGAGGTGAGGGAAGAGAGGGAGGAGGTGAGGGGGGGATGGACAGCGGGGTACCGGGTCAGGTGGGTGTGCCCTGACAGTGAGCAGGGCAAATGATGGGCATTAACAGCCTTGTGTCAGAGACCAGGTTGAGATGAAGGAGTGTCTCCATGGCGGAGGGCTTCGGCCTCAGTGACTTATGCCAGGAGCGCTGTGCCAAGTAACACGTCTGTGCCCTAACTTACTAAACTGGCAACCAGAACTGAAGGGGGTAAACTCTAGTCGATTTTATTACTGAGGTGTAACCTATGTACAAGTTGAGTATATATATAGTTACAACAGGGGTGGGTCCGCAAATGGTGGAGCCAAGCGGAGTGGAGCTAACGGGATTAGACATTAGCCGATTGAATATTACCGACAAGTCAGGTTACGGGGTTAACGGAATGGTAGGCGATAACCCAGAAACAGAAAGGAGGGATAGGCCCAAAGATGGGCTTGCAGGGCAAGTGAGTGTATTGCCCAGCGGAGGCGGGAGTGTGCTAGCGGACGTCAGAGCTGTCCGGAAGCCTTCGGGGCTCCGTACTTAGGGAGGTGTAGGTAATAAATTGAAAAGAGGGGGTGGTGACCATCGAGGGGTACCGAGGTGATTGTGGAATGCGGGAGCTCCGAGGTTAGTGAAGAAGGAGCAGAGGTAGAACGGAGGGATCGGAGGGAGTGGAAGTCGATGGCCGGGGATGGATATGACACCTCGCTAGACTCCCCATCAGGTGTGTCAGAACTTGAAGCAGCAGCACAAATCAGAACCTTGTCCACCCAACTCACAAATTCCCAAACACACATATTATTGAAAACATAGGAGTGATTGTGAGCTAGATAATCAGAGAGTTGATTACATGGCCATTCAATTACACTGGAAGAGGGATTGGTGCCTAAAATGCAAGATTCTTCCACCTGAGCAGCATCTTCAGTGTCAGTGCCTAGAGCTGGAATTGGCACACTGTGTCATATCCGTACATACCTGATCCTGATCCAACTCCCGGACCCCCATCTTCACCACCTCCGGAGTCCTACCCTATCTCCGTCCGCTCCAATACTCACCTTGGACCGAACATCACTCCTCTTGCCACCCTCCTCCTCTTACTCCTTCCTCTTACTCCTCATGACACCTCCACCCTTTCATCACTCTCCTACCCTACTTCTGTCTGCTCCGATACTCACCTTCGGACCTGACACCTTTCCTCTCCTCCTCTCCTCTCCCCGCTCCTCTCTTCTCTCTCCTCCCTCTGACCCTCTTCCACCAAACTGCCAGCAAGTTATGGCCTTCCGCTGTTGTCCTGTACCCTGTACTCGGACACCACTCGTACCTTTGCTCCGAGATTTCCGTCATAGTTCCGACCTCGGACTTTGACTCCACCTTGGCTTAAGTCCATTGAATTGGTGACCTCATACTACATAAACACCATTGCCAACATTCCTCAGACTTTCAACCCCGCCTCCATAAGCTCCGTAAGCTCCGCAACCTCTGAGCTCCATGGATCATACCCAGCACTGTCGCTGCTTGTAATGTATCTTTTGCACTTTCCCCTCATCCTTATTTGGACTGCTGCTTCTTCCCATTCTAGCCAGTTAGTCATCATCCCCATTTCACCTCACCTTGCTGCCCCTCTGGGCTTCGCCCTCTGTTAGAGACCAGATCGAGATGAAGGAGTTGTCTCTGTGGCAGAGGGCTTCGGCCTCAGCGACTCAGACCAGGAGCGCTGTGCCAAGTTACACATCCGTGCCCTTATTTACTTACTGGCAACGAGAACTAAAGGGGGATCAATTCTAGTCTATTTTATCACTGAGGTGTAACCTATGTACAAGTTAAGTATATATAGTTACAGCAAGGGCGGGCCTGTGAATGGCAGGACCGAGCAGAGCGGAGCTAACGGAGTTAAACATTAGCCGATTGAATATTACTGACAAGTCAGGTTATGGGGTTAGCGGAATGGCAGGCAATAACCCAGAAACGGAAAGGAGGGATAGGCCCAAAGGTAGACTTGCAGGGCAAGCAAGTGAATTGCTGTCAGGGCCCGGCCTCGGACTCGGAGGCTCCCTGACCTCAGCCCCCATCTGACCTGTCCTCACACTATGCAGGGCATGAGATGAGAAGAAGGGTAAAGGTCTCATCTCCCCGCATGGTTGCTATATAAAGGAATGGGTCACATGCCCACAACTATACAGCTCCTAGAGTTGTGTAGTGTGACCTGGAGGGAACATCCAGGTGGCAGTGCCCAGTAAGCGTGGGAACGTTCTGGGCGAGTTGCTCACCCAGAACTGTGGCTGTGACCCGTGGGAACATTCTGGGCGAGCTGCTCACTCAGAAAGTTCCCACGCTATCCCATGTGCGCGGATACACAACACAGAAAGGCAACAACAAGGCAACAATGAAGGAATGGAAGGAAGGGATTGGTTGGGGAGTCTGGGGCACCCTAGGGCAGGGTGCTGAACCCTGACAATTGCCCAGCAGGGGCAGGAGTGCGCCAGCGGACGTCGGAGCTGTCCAGAGGCCTTCAGGGCTCCATACTTAGGGAGGTGTAGGTAATATATTGAAAAGAGGGGGTGGTGACCATCGAGGGAGGCGGAGGTGATTGCAGAATACAGGAGCTCTGAGGTTAGTGAAGAAGGAGTGGAGGTAGTCCGGAAGGGTCGGAGGTAGTGGAAGACGATGGCTGTGGATGGATATGACACAAATGGCCTTCATGGAGAATGACATCATGGTATAGTGGATTGTTGGCAACAAGCCATCCCAATGCATGGTGCACCTTATTGCATCGAACTATCAGAGGACATGTGTTGGCCTTGAGCCACTCTTTAGTTGGTGGGATTGAGCCACAAAAACGATGCACATTGGAGTGATCACATCTTCCAATGCAGGGGGCAAAAAAGGGGATAAGGCTTCAGGTTTTGCAGGAAAGACAATGATGTGACCCTTGAGTGCACGTTGAGAGGTTGGATTAGACGAAGAAAAGAAGCACCTGTTGTACAGGCAGAAGGGAGGGAGTCATCATGCAGATGAATGATCCAGCTCTTCGCACACCATCGGGCTATCAGAGCTTCCTCAATTAAAATGAGGTTCACCAGTTCAGGGGGGATTGGTCCAAAGAACAAATCATTGGCAACGGCAGTGTTAGGCAAACGATGGTGCTTGAGTGATCGGTGACAATCAGTGCAAATGCGAATGGGAATGGAGGAGTTGACACTATTCACTACACCCTCAGCCACAAGCATAATGTTTTCGAGAGCAGGGCTAGAAGGGAAAGGGTGCAGAGCATTGGCTGGGTAACTGCCTTCCAAAATTGAAACATCGTACTCGTTTAAATTCACAGGCTCTGAGAGCATGAACTCACCAAACTTGGCAGCCCCACAAACAGTGCATACTTTGGATGAAAGGTGATCAGAATCCAGTAAGGTGTGGTAGTAACAGAGTAGTCGCAATTTAGACTCGAGTGAGAGCTTTTCAGGCCAACATGAAGGAAGCACAATCCTTTTTCCACTCAGTGTAATTGGCTGTGGTTGAATGTGGTGTGGGGGGGGGGGGAGCAAAAGTCAGCATGATCCAGCAGAATGCGGCAGAGATCAGTCAAACTTGCAGCGGAATTGAATGGCAAGTGGAACAGTGAGAGCAGCCATTGGAGTACTCGTTCGTGGATGTCAACAGACACAATCCATCGTATTAAGTGAGCCCAGTTAAGGGGTCTTTCCTTATCAGCAGTTAAAGTTGAATTGCAATGAGCATGGAACTGCAAGTGGTTGGGATTTGGGTCACTGAAGGTACAGGATTCGTCGGACATTATATGGGAGAAGAGTGAGGTTTGGAGTTGTTCATGAGACAACAGAACATAATTAGAGTGGCATGGGACATGATGGAACCGATTAATTGCCAACAAATCCAAATGGCATAGACGCTCAAAGAGACAGAGGATACTCAAATGATAGTAAACCTAAATCCACCCCCTTGTTAGAACGTGGGGATTCGGACGACTCCGGAATGGAATCGGAGACTTAGCATGGAAGGACCTCGGCCTCAGCGACTCAGGTGGAGCGCTGTGCCATTGCTGGTTGTCCTAGGGGTCCCTAATTTCGGATCTAGCAGAGGGAAAGTCTCTTGAGGGGGAATTCCAGTCGATTTCGGACTGAGGTTACCAGTTACTAGGTACATTGTATATAAGGAGGGGTCCGGAATCAAAAGGAACAAGGGTAGGACAAAAGGAGACAAAGGGAGGTGGAAAGAGGAACAACACCGAGGGTCAAGAGTTTGACTCAATGGTGCTTCCCAAAGGAGGAATGAAGGGCCAAGGCCCAAGAAGGAAGGAAGGAGGATGGGAGTCGGGAATGGCTAGCTGACTGAATGGAAAGGAAGCAGCAGCCCAAATAGGAATGAGGGAGAATAGCGGAATTGAAATGGACAATGCAATAGTTGCAAGGTCCGGAGTAAGTCCGGAAAGTCCGAACTCGGAGGTTAAACTCCGGAATATTGGCAAAGGTAATTAAATGGAATGAGCTAACCAATACAATGGGTATAAGCGGAGGTGGGGTCAAAGTCCGAGGTTGGAGCTAAGACTGGAGGTTCCGGAGACGAGACGCGAACGGGATACTGGAGTGGAGGTCCGGAGTCAGGAGCATAGGTTTTGCGTACTCGTCTGGGAGGTGTCGAGGTTGGGGTCGGACCCGGAATGTTCCGGAGTCGGACCGAAGGTGGTGTTGGAGCCGGAGGTGGGGTAAACTCTTGGGAGTCGGCAAGGAGAAGGTGACGGAAGGGAAGTAGGGCTCCGGAAGTCGGAGTTCGGAGTTCCGGGAGCCCGGAGTGGAGGTCAGGATTGTATGGATATGACACCCCTGGGACGTGATGCAAGGAGTTCACCAGAGTCATGTGCCATAACATGTGAGATGCTCTCCTCAAAAAAAAAACATTGTTTTTTTTCCCCCCACTTTCAACTTTGCCTCCATGAGTTTCTATAACCATATCTATACTATGTACTCCTTGAAAATAAACAATGCCCAACCCATGCGATATGGGCAAAAAGTCCTGCTCACACTGCAACCAATCTCGACCTCTTGACCATTTCAAAGCCATGCAGCATGGCTGGTCCTCCCTCTGTACTGCATGTCTTGATGCACAGCACATCCGGCATCAATCCAATAAGCAAGAAAAAAATCAAATGCTCTTAAAAACCTGCCAACTCTTCACGATTTCTATGCGAAGCTTGAAGCAGCCAAAGAGGAAGAAATTAACACCCACCACATCCTTCTTGAAGCGAAGGGCAGCTCTCAACTGATACAACTTGCCAGTCCAGGCAATGATGACATACTGGAAATGGACCCTGATGGCAACACCAATGCAGGAATCAGTGCATATAGGGACCAGGCCGACATTATAAGTACCCAATGTGGTGTCATACTTGGCTATAAGTGGAGGTATGATTGCTTCAGCTTCCTTTTGAAACAGTTAAATGGAGTCTTCATTCACATTAGGTATCATGACACTCAGACACACGTTAAGAAGGAGGGAGAGCAGCCTGCACTCCATTTTTGGTACCGGTGTGCACAGGATTGCCAACTGCTACAGAAGTCCCAGAAAATCAATGACCCATTGAAGCAATGGGACCAACAAACAATAACCTACTTTGAATGCAAAAGCCACCTACACATCACCCTTCAACTGATTCAAGGGTTCCTCACCGCTAAAATTGACATAATGCATACTGATGATCATATCCCTTACCATGCAACCCACTTGCCACCAGAAGCCTGGGATATTATTGAGAAAAATAAGGAAAAATCACTAAAAGATGTGTGTGAACACTCATTCCAACTAATGGAAAACTTATCTGCCATTCTGGCCAGGTCTGGCAGCTCACATGGCAGAAGTCCCCTGGCCCCTTTCAGCCACGATTGTTAGAACTGGGTGAGGGCGAACAATTCTGGAGGGGAACCGGAGACTTAGCAAGGAGGGACCTTGGCCTCAGCGACTCAAGGGGAGCGCTGTGCCACTGCTGTTTGCCCATTTGGTCCTTAATTTCAGAAGCAGTGAGCAGGAAGTCTCTGGGGGGCATTTCTAGTCGATTTTAGACTAAAGGTCCAATACAAGCACCTGTATATAGTGGAGAGACAAAAGCACAAGGAAATCAAAGGGGGTCTGAATCAGAACAAAGTGTCAGGGCACAGCCCTTGACCCCACTCACCCTCAGACACCCTCACCCTTTCCCTAACCACCCTCTCCCCACATTTCCCCATTCCCCCTATCCTTCCCCCCACTGTTTCACACAATGATGCACATGTGTGGACCCATGGGAACGTTCTGGGCAAGCAACTCACCCAGAAAAGCACAGCCACAGCTGCGGGAACTTTCTGGGAGAGTAACTCACCTAGGACACGTGACTGTGGGAACATTCTGGGCAAGCAACTTGCCCAGAACTTTCCCACGGGTCGCACCCATTATGGAAAGTTGGCAGCAGGTGGGAACTGTATAGTTCCTAGGGTCCTTTTGTGTCGGCCTCACAGGGGGCTGAGAAGCTTACCCTTCTTCTCAGCTCATTCCCTGTGAAGGCTGAGGCTAGTCCCCTCAGCAACTTCAAGGAGTTAGCAGCTGGGGAGAGTACCCCAGCTTCCACACCCAGCCTCACCCTCTGGCCACTCCCAGTTGGGGTCTGGATCCTGACACAAAGGCATCCAAACGGAGACAAAGGGATGATGGAAATGGAGCGGTACCGAAGGTCATGGGTTAGACTCTGTGGTATAACCGAAAGGAGGAAGGAAGCAGTAGTCCAAATAGGGATGAAGGGAAAGTGCAAAAGATACATCACAAGCAGCGAAAGTGCCAAGTATGGTCTGTGGAGCTCAGAGGTTGCGGAGCTTATGGAGGTTGCGGAGGTGGGGTTGGAAGTCCGAGAAATGTTGGCAATGGTGTTTACGTAGAATGAGGTTACCAATGCAATGGACTTAAGCTGAGGTGGAGTCAAAGTCCAAGGTCAGAACCATGATGGGATCTCGGAGCGAAGGTAAGAGCGGTGTCCAAGTACAGGGTATGGGACTGTGGCAGAAAGTTGTAACTTTGGTGGAGGTTGGCAGAAGAGGGTCGGAGGGAAGAGAGTGGGGAGAGGAGTGGGAGGAGAGGAGTGTGGTCATGTCCAAAGGTGGGTATTGGAGCGGACAGAGGTAAGGGGTGATAGGAGGAGTGAGAGGAGGAGGTGTGTTACGGGGATGGGGGAAATTCCCCATTCCTCGATCTGTTCTTATAGTGGGAAGGCGAGAGTCATGTCTAGTTTGTACCATAACTGGAAGTGTAATCGATGAGTGATCCCAGTCTGACCTGGGAGTGGGCCATCGAATTCCCATCGATCGCGATGGGTGATGTAGTGAGCTATTAAGGGATTGATGATTGATAGTCGGAGATATCAGGACAGATGGGTCAGCCACGGATACTTGGCGCTCCTCAATGGAGCGTACCGTGTGCGAGGTCGCGACTGGTGAGATGGGTGAGAGCTTCGCATAGTTGCCATCGGGTACTTGGCGTTCGCAGTGCGAACGTACCGGTAGCGGGTTGATATCGTAGGCGTGCAATGAGGGCTGATTATTAGGGCCTTCGGTGACTTGGCGTTCCCAAAGGGAACGTACCGTTGGCGGGGACATATGATGACTGGCAAAGGAAGAAACAGACGGTGGATGGGCGGCTACTTGGCGTTCGCGTAGCGAACGTGCTGGCATCGAGGGTAAGTGGGCCTCATAGTGTTCACGATCACCATGATCATGATGGGACGTCGTATGTTGAGTACTGGGGGGAGAGCGGAGTGATGAAGACCCATAGGGTACAGGTTCAATAGGACGATACACACGTCGAGAGTCTTCGACTCTCGACTTCGAGTTCTCGCGGCGAGGGCCGTTAGAGGACTCGATATAACCAGACTTATAAGACAATTGAGAGTTGTACAGTCACACAGGTTCAGTTGAGTCACAGGGAGGGTTGTTACAGAAGACGGTACACGAGACAGTTGTAGAGCAGTTGTTAGTTAGCGGGAACCGCCTTCGGCGGTTTCCGTACATGACGCGTGACTATCTACAAATGGTAAGGTTGCGGGAAATCCCGCAAAACACAAACAACCTCGGCCAGCACCAAAACCCCAATGGGGAAAGCTTTGCACGAGGGGGGGGGAAAGGGGTAGAACGGGTAAGGAGGATAGGGTAGCGGGATAGAGGACAGAAAGGAGAAAGAGGGGAGGAGCGATAGAGAGGGGAAGTCTTTGACCATGCGATGGATATGGTCGTTGGAGACTCCGTATCCGTAACATCGCCCCCCAGTCTCCTAACGACCATGACGCGGTCCCCGAGGGGCGTATCTCCGCGGGTCGTCTCTCCAGGGCGACCGGCTTCTCAAGCGCTCGTGATAGGAATCCGGATGGAGGGAATCGTACTGAGCCCCACCGGAGGAGGATGGGTGCGGATCCGATCCCGGGTACTGCACGGGCAGGGGGTAGGGCCGGCTCGTAGGAGGAGGATGAACAGTCGCTGGAGGAGCTGCCAGGTTGACGACGAAGGCGGGCACGGCGGTGTTGGTGTTGCTGTCCACCACCCACGTAGGGTTGACTGGCATCGCGAAAGTTGGCATCCGTGGAATTGACTGTGGCCCTCCGGCGCTATACGGTACCATACTAGAAGGGGAAGGATCGGGATTCGAGTCTCTCGGGTTAGGGCGGTTATCCCTTCGAGCAATCGACTCTCGAGACGTAGGTCGAGAAGACCACCTTCTATCCACATCTCTGTCGTAGTCGGATCGGCTAGGTTCGGGGCGATAAGAGTCCATCCGAGTTCGATGGGTTTCATTCCCCATTTGCCAACGAGCCTGTCCCGAATGACCCGAGGCTGATCCTTCTCTTCGGCCGGGATACGGATGGGACCTTCTCTCTTCTCGAGGCAATTTCCTCCAGCGGTTATGGTTCGACGAACCCGAGGGAGAGGATGAGGCGGAAGAGTTGTCAGTGGAAAGGGCGGATGGGGTGTTGGTGGGATGAGCGCTTGGTTGTGGCACCAACACATTCGGAGGGGGTAGGAAGACCGAACTCCCCGCACCCGGCCAGTTGGGAGATGGAGGCGGTACGGAAGCGTCTCCCAGGTTCAAGCCCAGCGTTCCTGACGTCAGCTCGTCTGAGCCCTCGTCGAAAGGAATCGGTGAATCTGGCTGTGCCAGTTGTCGCTCAGCGTCATCCATGTCCACTTCTTGTGCCTTGGCGCGAGTCATGAAGCGTCCGGTATCCGGGTAGTAGAATGTCCGGCTCAGACGACGTTTCTCCACCAACTTGAGGGTGGACGGGTCCTTGTTGGATGGGGGTGGACCCGGCCACACGAGTCGGAATTCGTAGGCCTCCCTGTCTTCAGCACCAGGCAATGGTTCGGGCACATCTTCCCATTTGGGCCAGTCGAGGAACCAAGGAACTTCAGTCCCTTGAGCCAACGGGAGTCGGTAATTACGAGCAGCCTCAGCATGTCCGCTCAGGTCCAGTTCTTCAAACAATCCATTCTTGATTATGCGACATGGCAGCTGACAAGCTAGGTATACAGCGAACTCGGGTGAATTTGCCGTCAATCGATCATCAGTCGAACTTTCTTCGAGAAAAATTCCTTTCGGGGGTTCCAACCAGGATATCTTGCGTCCCTCTTGGACTTCTACTTCCATCAGGTGTTCATGGATTCGGGTGTAATTGACGAAAGCGGTAAGGAGGGAAATGATCCGGAGTATGTAGGTGTATCGAGATATTATGGTGAAGGGGTGTTGCCAAGGAGCGAACTGGAAGGCAAAGATGTGACCGTCCAACTCGTGCTCGCCGCCCGACTTGGACTCGACTTTGTATATTACTTCCCTCAATTTGTTAGGCAATCGTAATTTCGTGAGGGCCTCAGCCTTGAGCGCGGCGGCCTTTGAAGACTCCCAGCGTTCCAGCAATGGGGTCAAAGCTCGGGGCGGAACGTTCTGGTTCCCGTTTTCTCTCAGCACTTCGGCCTCGTTGAGGTGGTGATACTCCGGTAGTAAGAGCCACAATCGATCCAGAGATCGAGCACCGGGTCTTACGTGGTGCAAAGTGACGTACGAGAGAGTGGGGTCGAGAGGTCCCAGCTGCCCGTTTAACCACATAGGGTCGGATGGGGCTCTCTTGAAGGGCTCGGATGACACTTCGGCTGCTTCGAGACCTGGGCAGTCCCGTCTGTGATCGTCCGTGATCGCAACAGAGTTACGTGGGGTGGGCCTGCAGCTCATACTTGCCAGTCCGAGAGACATCGTCAGTTAGGTTCGTTGATGGGATCGCGAGGGGAAAACGATGGAGATGAAAGGTGATTGAAGTGTATTCTAATCACGTGCCGCTAATCGACTTCGTGTGAATACCCGATCGGGAAGTGGGCGCTTATTTACGTCTGCTCAGGCCCGCCTTCGATCTATACCTTCCGAGGATCTCGGGGGCGTTTCGGAGGTCTCTTTCGGTTGCCCAGGTGTCTTCTTGCGCCCCATATCCTTTCCACCTCACTCTGTACAGGAGTTTC